GAATTTTTTGGAATAGTCTGAGAAGGGTTGGTTTTAGTTCTTCTTTGACTGTTCGGTAAAACTCCCCTGTGAAGCCATCTGGTCCAGGGCTTTTGTTTGCTGGAAGCATTTTGATTACTATTTCAATTTCATCAGTAGTTATCAGCCTATTAAGGTTTTTTGATGCTTCCTGGTTGAGTTTTGGAAGCTTGTATTTTTCTAGGAATGTGTCCATTTTGTTGAAGTTGTCCAGTTTGTTGGAGTAGAGGTGTTCATAGTATTTTTTTACAATCCTTTGTGTATCAGTAGGATCAGTTGTTACTTCATCTCTTTCATTTCTGATTTTGTTTATTTGGGTCCTCTCTCTTTGTTTCTTGGTGAGCCTGGCTAGGGGTTCATCAATCTTGCTTATCCTTTCAAAGAATCAGCTCTTGGTTTCATTGATCTTTTGTATTGTTTTTTTGGTCTCTATGTCATTTATTTCTGGTCTGATCTTTATTATCTCCTTCCTTCTGGATACTGTGGGCTTTCCTTGTTGCTCTCTTTCTAATTCTTTAAGTTGCAGGGTTAGGTAATTTATTACCATTTTTTCTTGTTTTATGAGGTAGGCCTGTAGAGCTATGAACTTCCCTCTCAGGACTGCTTTCATTATGTCCCATAGATTTTGGATTGTTGTGTTTTCATTGTCGTTTGTTGCCATGATGCTTTTTATTTCTTCTTTGATCTCTTTGGTAACCCAATCATTGTTTAATGGCATGCTATTTAGCCTCCAAGTGTTTGATATTTTTCCATTGTTTTTATTATAGTTGATTTCTAGTTTTATGCCACTGTGATCTGAGAAGATGCTTGTTATGATTTCTATTCTCTTGAATTTGAAGAGACTTTGCTTATGTCCTAATATGTGTTCTATCTTTGAAAATGTCCCATGTGGCCGAAACCGGTTTGGCTCAGTGGATAGAGCGTCGGCCTGCTGACTGAAAGGTCCCAGGTTCGATTCCGGTCAAGGGCATGTACCTGGGTTGCGGGCATATCCTCAGTAGGAGATGTGCAGGAGGCGGCTGATCGATGTTTCTCTCTCATCGATGTTTCTAACTATCTATCTCTCTCCCTTCCTCACTGTAAAAAAAATTAATAAAATATATAAAAAAAAAAAAAGAAAGAAAATGTCCCATGTGCACTGGAGAAGAATGTATATTCTGTTGCTTTGGCGTGAAATATTCTGAAGATGTCAATTAAGTCCATCTGATCTAGTGAGTCATTTAGGTTTGCTGTTTCCTTGCTGATTTTTTGTTTAGAGGATTTATCCAGTGATGTTAGTGGGGTATTAAAGTCCCCTACTATGACTGTGTTGCTATCAATCTCTCCCTTGATATCTTCCAGAAGTTGTTTTATGTATTTGGGTGCTCCTGTATTGGGTGCATATATGTTTACCAGAGTTATATCTTCTTGTTGGATTGCTACCTTTAGTATTATGTAGTGGCCTTCCTTATCTCGTTATGGCCTTTACTTTAAGGTCTATTTTGTCAGATATAAGTATTGCATCCCCAGCTTTTTTCTCATTTCCATTTGCCTGAAAATTTTTTTTCCCATCCCTTCACTATCAGTCTGTGTGAATCCTTTGTTCTGAGGTAGGTCTCTTGTAGACAGCAAATATATCGGTTGTGTTTTTTTATCCATTCAGCTACCCTATGTTTTTTGATTGGGGCATTTCATCCATTTACATTTAATGTTATTATTGATAAGTACTTGTTTGTCATCATTTTCATTCTTAATATTTGTGTTTCTTCTTGCCTTTCTGTTTCTTCTTTTTACAGCAGTCCCTTTAGCATTTCTTGCATTGCTATCTTGGTGGTAATAAACTCTCTTAGTCCTTTTTTGTCTGTGAAGCTCCTGATTCCACCTTCAATTTTGAATGATAGCCTTGCTGGGTATAGTATTTTGGGATTCAGTCCCTTGGTTTGCATCACTTTGAATATATCATTCCATTTCCTTCTAGCCTGGTGTGTTTCTGTTGAGAAATCTGTCGATATTCTAATGGGAGATTCCTTGTATGTAACTTTCTGTCTCTCTCTGGCAGCTTTTAAGACTTGTAGTTTGTTGCTGATGTTTGCCAATTTATTTATGATGTGTCTTGGTGTTGGTCTTTTTGGGTTCATCTTGTTTGGGATGTTATGCACTTCTTGGATTTGTGTAGTTTTTTTCTTGCCAATATCGGGAAAGTTTTCTGTTATTATTTCTCTGAACAGGTTTTCTATTCCTTGCTTCTCTTCCTCTCCTTCTGGTACCCCTATTATGCGGTTGTTGTTTCATTTTGTGTTGTCCCAAATCTCCCTCTTGCTTTTTAAATTTTCTTTCTGGTTGCTGCTGTATGTGTGTGTGTTTTCCTACCTTGTCTTCTAGCTCGCTGATGAGGTCCTCAGCCTCTTCTAGTCCACTGTTTCAGCCTCCCATTGTGTTCTTTATTGCAGCTATGTCATTCTTCATTTCCTCTTGGTTCCTTTTCATATTCGTGACATTCTCATTCAGCTCCTTATAATTCTCATTGGGTTGTGTGTATTTGTCATTGAGTTGCGTGTATTTGTCATCCAGCCATTACTTATAACCATTACTCTGAATTCTTTCTCTGAGAAGTTACTTGCCTTGGTTTCATTTAACTCCCTCTCTGGTGATTTTTCTTTTTCTTTCCTTTGGGGATTGCTTTTTTGTCTCTCCATGTTTTGCTCTAACATTTTAATTGTTTCTGTGTCCTAGATCTGACTGTTTTGCTACCCAGTTTCTTTTGAGGATGGTGCTGGTGGTGTGATCTCTCAGGTCTCCTGAGCTTGGTAATCTATCATAGCTCCCTTAAGCTATTTGGGATTTTTTGATGTAGGCCTGCAAGCTGGAAAGGCACAATTGTGGTGTCCAGATGTCAGCAGCCAGGGAGAGGGATGTCCCAATTTTTGCTGTTTTGCATCCTTGGTTGAAATCGCACATGCCCAGCCAGGGCTCACAGAGGTAACCAGGAGCTGTCTGTCAGGGTAGTGGGGCTCAGGAGGCCTGCACACTAGAAAGGCACAACTGTGGTGTCCAGAGTTCTGTAGCTGTAGCGTGGGAAGACTCAGTTTTTGCTGCTGTGTCTGTGGTTGGATACACACGCTCCCAGTGGCAGCTCACAGGGGCACAGCTCACAGTGTGCTTGCCAGCGCAGCGCCCTGGCGCACTGAAGAGCCCTGGTTGAAGCCAAGCGATCGAGGCATCTGTGGGCAGGTATCCAGGATGAGGGTATTCAGAATTTCTACTGTTGGGGCAGTGCACCCTTGTTTGGATAAGAGCACCCTGTAGAGCCGTGGTCTCAGGAGGCCTGCGTGCTGGAAAAGCATGACTGTAGTGTCCAGAGTTCTGCAGCAGTGGAGTGGGAAGACTCAGTTTTTGCTGCTGTGCCTGTGGATGGATACACACGCTCCCAGTGGCAGCTCACAGGGGTACCCGTGATGCATTTGCAGTGTGGAGCTCTGATGTACTTTGAGGGGCCCTGGTGCTGAAGTTGTGCAACAGTGTCTGTGGGCAGTTATTCAGGAAGAGTGAAATCAAAATTTTTACTGTGGGGCAGTGCACCCTCATTTGCACAATATCGCACTCAGCGGGCGCTTGCAGTGGCTCCCAGGGGCTGCCTGTCGGGTGATGGGCTCCAGAGGCTTGCATGCTGGATACGTGTCAATGTGGTGTCCAGAGGTCTGCCACTGGGGAGGGAGAAGCTGCACTTACTGCTGTGGGAGCGGTGCTCCTTTGAAGGTGGAGGTCCTAGGGTCTGCAGGCCTGTGGATGGGGCTGCAGGATTTTGGCTGGAATGGCTGCTGGGTCGTGGGCAGTGTCCAAGGGCTGTGTGGGTGTTGGTGTTGATGAGTTCCCAGATGAGGCCGCTCTCCCCTTCAAGATGGCGTGGGTTCCGTGCCCGAGTCCCGCAGCCCCAGAAGTGTCCACGCAATGGTAGGTGCTCCCTGTCCAGGAAAGTCTGGTCTTCCAGCCCCTGCTACTCCTGTAGGATGTAACTTTCCCTCGCTCACTCACACACACACACACCACACACATCCACACACTCTCCCTTCACCCTCTCACTCACACATCCTCTCCCTCACCTCTGTCCTGCCAGCCGCCATCTTCTCGCATCCCACTCCATATAAACTTAAGGAAAAAATTGCATGATGTTGAGTATTATATCTACTATGTATGGAGGATAGAAAAATACTAGAAAGAAATAAAACAAAATACTAACAATGGTTGCCTCTGGGTCATGGGATTGTGGCTCATTTTCGTCCTCCTTTTTATAGTCTTCCCAATCCTTATTTTGAACATGTATTACTTTTAGAATTAGAATTGGGAACAAGAAAAGAATTTTAATTTGTTCGTGATGTTAAAGTCATACTTCTTTTAAAATATACACACACACACACACACACACACACACACACACACACATATATATATATATATATATATATATATATATATATATATATATTTGTTGATTTCAGAGAGGAAGGGAGAGGGAGAAAGAGAGAGAAACGTCAATGATTTGAGAGAATCATTGATTGGCTGCCTCCGGCACACCCCACACTGGGAATCGAGCCTGCAACCCAGGCATGTGCCCTTGACTGGAATCAAACCTGGGACCCTTCAGTCCAAAGGCTGACACTCTATCCACTGAGCCAAACTGGCTAGGGCAAGTCATACTTCTTATTAGCTAGTTTACATCTAAGGTAATGTGTTAATATACCCAGAACTATTCGTATATTATTTTTAGTTTTGCAATGAAGGCTTTGCTTTCATAGTAAAGACATTCCAATTATAGTATCAATGAAGACCTGAGCAAGATCTTTATTCGTTCTCTGGATGCCACTTAGCAAGCTCAGTTTCATCTCCTTAGTCCTCACTTCCTTCTTGAAGACTCTATCTGGTTTTCTTGAGAGAGGCTTCCCACTGAGAAGGAACCTCTCAGTAACTAAGTAACCAAGCCTTTACTTTCTCCTTCTCATTGGCAGATTACCTCCAATATTCCAGGGCCTTCTTCCTAATCTCTGTCCTCACCATACTCATTGGTCTTGGCTGGCTCTTAAGTTCTTGCCTCCCTAGAAGAGGAAGCATGACCACCAACTTGGATCTGAAGGTATCCATGCTCAGCTTCATCTCAGGTACAAACATAGAGTGGCAGGGTGATTTCAGGGTAAAATTGTCAAGGGAATAAAGTTTCTCTATGGGGTTTTCATCCTCTTTTTCTTGTCCCTTTCCTCTTTTTCAATATTACATCAAGTTGCCAGCTACCTGCCCTGTCTTATTATATAAAGCACACTTTCGGTGACTTATGCCAGGAGAGAGGTAGAAGCCCTTTTTTTCTCTCCCACTTGGTCAATCCCCAAATTTTGATCCTGCCATACAAATGGCATCTGGAAGCAGAAGAGTTGGGGGTGGTAGTCAAGGCAGACTGAAGACACTGATGGGTTGTGACATCTTTTCTTCTGGTCCTAGCCATCTGCTTGCTCTTCTGCCTCATCCTATTTCTGGCACAGGTTCACTGGCACACCAGGGATGCCATGGAGTCAGACCTCCTATGGGCCTATTATCTTAATTGGTGGAGTGACTTCTTATACATGTTTTCTGGTGAGTCAGTCCCCTGCCTTATCCCAGAAGGATGGAAGGGGAATACACTTATTGAAAGAGAGGTGGAATCTAGGAAAAATAGAAGCACTGATTCTTCCTATTTAGAGCATCTATGCATCAAGAAGCAGTATGATATGAAACTGAAAACTTAGAAGTAGTAATCTGTCCTGCCACTAAATGAGCCATAGACAGGTTGAGTGACTTGCTATGACCACACAGAAAGTAGTCAAACTATGATTTGATTCCAGGAGGTTCAAGCTTTGTCCTAACCATGTGAAAATACTATAATGGAATGGGAGCATAGAACTGTAAAGTAATTCTGCTGGGGGAGAGGAGGGTTGGCTTCACTGAAAAGAAGCCCTTTGAACTGAGCATTTTAAAAGATGAGTGAGAGTTTTAAAAGTCAAAAGACCATGTGTCTATTGTAATTCACCTGAAATTCTTCTATTCCCCTAGGGATCATCTCCTTCCTCAACTACATAACATTCAGATCTCCTCCCCTTGATCAAAATGTCACTGTGATTCCCACAGAGAGGTCAAGGCTGGGGATTGGTCCAGTGACTACAGTATCACCTGCTGAAGATGAAGAGTCAAGGTCTGGGATGGAATCTCCAAGTGATGGAGAGGAAAAACTATCAAATGCAGAACTATCAAACACAGAACTATCAAACGCAGAAATGTGATAGTGATAGGAAAACTCAATTACTGCTTGTCTTAAAAATGGGGGAGAAGTTACTAAGTTGGAAATGATTGTGTAGACTCTAAAAAAACTCTCTTAATATCATGTCCATATTACTGAAGGAGACAGCATTAAAGCTGATGAAGTGTCCTTTGTATGCGTTAGACCCAAAATATGTATGATAATCAAAAGAAAGTAATGAAATCTCATTAAGAAAAATTCTACAAGAAAACATCAGTGTTTAGGGTCATGAATGAAAGAAACTAGCAATAGATGCAGTGTGTGGATCAGAGATGTCTTTGGGCATCAGGGGTCTCATGGACCAAAGTGGTCAATGGAATAAAATGTCATCTAATTCTGTTTGAAAATCTCATTATTTGTGGCTGTGAGCATGGATGGAGGTACTTGGACAATATTGTTGAGTTTGAATTGGAGATCATTACCAGAAATGGAATGAACACCAATGGAGATAATATCTATCACCCAAAGGTGTTGGGAGGTGCTAGGGGGATTCTGGGGAGTCCATGAGGTCCCATTTCCTATAAGAATTGGTCATTTAAACCCTTACAGCATACTATTTGAACCCACTGCTTCTCCCTAGGCTGGAAGATACCTTAACCAGACATACACAAACTCCCAGAAATTCTATACAAAACTTGTGTTTGCACTTTTCTGTGAAAAGAGTCATAGCCTCTGTTAGATCCTTGACAAGCCTGTGACTCTTTTGATTCCTTAGTCATCAAATATGTTTCCTTAAGCCAAATGACGCTAAAGGTCTTAAGGTCTTCCTTCAGTCTAAGTACATATGTGGACCAAGTTGAAAGATTTTATCTTGTTTTATATATCCTGTAAGATTAAGGAAGTGGGGGCATAAGGTTTTTTTTTAATTCTCACTGGAGAATATTCTTTTTATCGATTTGAGAGAGAAAGGAAGAAGAGAGAGAGAGAGAGAGAGAGAGAGAGAGAGAGAGAGAGAAACATTAATGTGAGAAACATCAATTAGTTACCTCCCATATTTGCCCCGACCAGGACTGACCCTGCAATCTAGGTATGTGTTTGATTGAGCCACCCAGCCAGGAAAATCATACAGATCTTTTTTAAAAATATATTTTTTATTGATTTTAGAGAGGAAGGGAGAGGGAGAGAGAGATAGAAACATAAACGATGAGAGAATCATTGATCGGCTACCTCCTGCATGCCCCACACTGGGGATCAAGCCCACAACCCAGGCAGGTGCCCTGACTGAGAATCGAACCGTGATCTCCTGGTTCATAGGTGGACACTCAGCCACTGAGCCATGCCAGCCGGGCCACATAGATCTTTTGATGGCTAAATATCTTTTTCAGAACCAGACCAGATTCCAGGCAGAAGATTCCTTTATTACTTTTAGTAGCTACCACTACTACTCTATTGATTGAGGTCCATTCTTCTCATCCCCAAGCCTGGCAATGGAATGAACTACAGTGCCCAGCCTCTCCCCTTGCTGTTCTTAAAGATAAGCCCTTGGGTCTTTTTGGTTTAAATAAAGATTCACCAGTGCCCTTTGTAGAAAACAAACAAAATAGAAATGGAGTAATTACGTTGTTCTTACAATCCCAGTTCTTATAATCTGATCAGTAATTCTTAAACATTTCCAGGTAGTAACTGGAAGCTCAATAGATTTGTTTCACTGAGCCAAATGAGCTTTAATTTTAAGGGCAGAAGTTTAGCAGCACATATTTGTGTGCACCCACATACAGAGACATACATACAAACACATACATACAAACACATACATGCACATACCTCATTTTGACTCTGCTTTATAAAACTCTTCTCCCCATGTTGGCTCCTCCTCATAGTAGGTGATCTTGGGACAGAATGACTGCTGCCTCTTTACTCCAAGTGGCCTCATTTCAGAGGCTCTTCAGTCTGTTCCTGGACCTTTGTCTGGTTGTAAGAATAAACATGTAATCAAGTCTAACTCCCCTTCCTCCCGTCACCACTCACACATGAAGTATACCCCTTGACTAACTAAGGATTTATTGGGTTCACAAGCTTGCTTTATAATTCAAATTCTTTGACTACTTTAATTATATGACTAAATTGACAAGGAGCTGAGTACTGATTACTCTTCAGGGAAGGGAAGTTTTAAGTGGTGTGAGGAGAAGGAAGCAGGTCTGAAAGCGGAAAATGCTAGATAATAAAAAAGTAATGATAAAGACCCTGACTATTAGGGGAGAATAGGCAGTGATTATCACTGAGGTTCTACTTTGCTAACAGAGAATGGCCATATAAGCAGAGACAACCTTTCATTGCTCCTTTAAAAACTGAATGCTCTCTTTATTTTCTTCATTCTCTCTTTCTTTGCTTGTAGAAAATTCCTTTAGAAGCCTAAGTGGATTTTCAATAAGATAGCTCAGAAATGACCCTTTGATACATCCCCTCTGCTCCAAACATATTGCATGATAGATGAAGGGGTGGGAAGAGAGATTATATTACATCAAGTCAAAACAAGACAAGCAGTTTCACTGACCAAAAAAATAACAAAAACTCAAGGCTATGATTCGAGTTAAGTCGAAAAGTAAGCAGAGATGAATAGCAAGACAACTCTTGTGTAGTGAAAAGGACTATCAGTGCTTCTCAAGACATGGACTAGAGCCAGGTTCACAGCTGTAGCTTAAGCTAAGGACTTATGAAAATAAATAAATAAAAACTACTGCCAAGCATTGACTGGGGTTGTAGCTTATTTGGAACCACAGACCCAAAGCCAGTGATGGCGAACCTATGACACGCGTGTCAGAGGTGACACGCGAACTCATTTTTTTGGTTGATTTTTCTTTGTTAAATGGCATTTAAATATATAAAATAAATATCAAAAATGTAAGTCTTTGTTTTACTATGGTTGCAAATATCAAAAAATTTCTATATGTGACACGGCACCAGAGTTAAGTTAGGGTTTTTCAAAATGTTGACTCGCCGAGCTCAAAAGGTTCGCCATCACTGCCCAAAGCAGCAAAAGGAGACAAGCAGCCCATTTATTCATTAGCTGGGTCAGTGGCCTTCCCTGATAGCATAACAACAGGGAATCGGAAATGCTATATTATGAGACTTGACCCTGGACTAGGGCCTTTGGCCAAAGTAAGGAAACCGACAAACTACCGATGGAATGAGCAGAGAGGTAGAAAAGGAAACAAACAAAAAAAGGCAACAACAAAAAATGTGCTTGCAAACAGGAATTCAAATGTAAAAAATTGTTCAGAAAAAAACTCAAAGTCAACAATCAGAATATAAATTCATTTCAGATTGTCTGGTGTGTAATATGATAAAGACTTTAAGTATTCCTAGGGCACACAAAGAGATATGATGTAATTATGGATTACAAAAAAGGGCCAAACACTATGAAACAAATATAGATAGAAATAAAACAAGAACGCATTTAAATGAAGAAGAACCAATTAGGAATCATTGGAATAAAAAATATAGCTATTGTCATAGGAAATATAGTCAATAATATTGTAATAACTATGTATGGTGTCAAATGGATACTAGGCTTACTAGGGTGATTACTTCATAAGTTATATAAATGTCTAAACACTATGTTGTACACTTGAAATTACTATTATACTACATGTCAGCTGTAATTTAAGAATAAAAAATATATATATTTAAGAATATATAGCCAAAACCGGTTTGGCTCAGTGGATAGAGCGTCGGCCTGCGGACTGAAAGGTCCCAGGTTCGATTCCGGTCAAGGGCATATACCTGGGTTGTGAGCATATCCCCAGTGGGAGATGTGCAGGAGGCAGCTGATCGATGTTTCTCTCTCATCGATGTTTCTAACTCTCTGTCTCTCTCCCTTCCTCTCTGTAAAAAATCAATAAAATGTATTAAAAAAAAAAAAAAAAAAGAATATATAGCCATTGAGCCCTAGCTGGTTTGGCTAACTGGATAGAGCATCGGCCTGCAGACTGATGGGTTCCGGGTTTAATTCCAGTCAAGGACACATGTTGGGTTGCAGACTCAATTCCCAGTAAGGGGTGTGCAGAGGCAGCTCTATCTCTCTCTCTCTTCCTCTCTGAAATCAATAAAAATATATTTTAAAATATATGTAGGATGTTTCAATAAATTTCAAGACTATCAATCAGCCCATGCTTCCTGCCACAATGAAATTAAATTAGAATTCAATAAAAAGAAAAGAATTTAAAACTTTATTATACTTTTGAAAACCTTAAAAATTTTCCCTAAAATTCATGGGTGAGAAGGAAACCACAATGGAATGAACAAATATTTAGATCTGAACAATGAAAGAATTACTACAATCAAAACCGATAGGAAGAATGAAGTCAGAGGAATGGTGGCATAAGGGCAGGTCTTTTCCTCTCCCCCTGGCATTTCAACAAGTTAACCATCTGTAATTCAAAAAAGAAGTTCCTGCTCAACACAGATGTACACCTGAGAGACCAGCATACTGAAACACCTAAGGTGGGCTTCCTGGAATAAGCTGGGAGACAAGAAGGAAAGGAAACTAGGACATGCGTCTGCACAGGTGGGAACTCACAGCCCAGGTACAGAAAGGGGAGAAGGCCAGCTTCAGGAGCCGGGAGGAAGAGAGAACTGTGGGAGCCAGCCCAGCAGATTGGCAGGGCGAGCTGCGAGCTGAGAGCTGCGAGCCGAGAGCTGCGAGCCGCCAGTGCAGGAGAGGACATTGTCTGAGTTTCGAGGTCCTGCAGACAAGCAACCAGAGATTGCAGTGTCTGTATCGTGGGCACCCTGCGAATAGGGCCTGAGTAGTCAGCAGACGCTTACCCTATAGAGCACTGGGTGCTGCCTAACAGCTCCCCACTGCTGGGCCTGGAGGTAGTCTTTCAGACAAAGAAAGTAAGTCACTAGAGCCCTGCCCCTGATTAGACTCCCCAAACTCGCCTCCCATTGCGCTTAGAGTTGGCTCCAGGAGTATATTATCTGTAAACCAAGAGTTGTTGCAGTAGAATCCCTGTTTCCCTCTGTGGTTGAACCGCAGGA